CTGAGATCTTGATGAGGAAATGTGTATTTCATTTTGTTTCTTAATTGTTTCTCTCACAGGCGTATCTGAGTTTGGAAATCTGGGTGCTGAACTCACTGAACAGGGATGGAAGAATATTGTGTTTAACTTGTTATGGTACATTAAGGTCAAGTAGGTGTTGTGATCTCAAGCTAGAGATTTACACACTTGAGGAAAAAAAAGATACCAGTTCTGTCATGACATATTTTCAGACCAAAATCCCATATGGTTTTCAATCATGGAATTGTTTTCTGTAATCCTTGTATTAGGGTTAAAATTTATTTTTATTATATTAAAAGCTGGGTTTTTTTGTTCATAGAAAAATCTGGAAGTAGAATGTCTAGACTTTGAATTATATTAAATCCACTGCAGTTTATCCAAGGATTATTTATTTAGGGTTATTTATATGGAAGTACCATTAATATGTTGAGGAGTTAGTTGTTGGTCATCAGTGACATGACAGTCAGCTGTAACTTGAGGGTGAACATAGCATTTATTATGTCTGGCTTACTTGAGTGTACTGGTATTTTAATTATAGCAGTTGTTCTTAGTCATTTTTGCATTCACAACATTACTTCTGGTCATGTTGACTGGACAAGGTCTCAAATTAAGATGTATTTCATATGCCTACTGGATTTTGATACTGTACTAAAGTAGAAAGCCTGATGCAATGTTTTAGTGAAAAGTGCAGATCATAGTCTCTGTTGTGGTTTAATGGCAGCGTTGCAAACAGTAATATAGAAGGCCAGGGCTTTTTTCAGATATTTTCGTAATGTGGAATGTTAGGATTAAGGCTTGGTAGTGTATTTAGAAGTTAAAAGATCTTCCCACCCCATTCTCCATATTTTTGTATATAAATCAAATCTAGGAAAAAACAGCTGATAACCCTCACTTTGTGAAATAATACCTTGGAAAACTTAACTCTACTATTGACTGAAATGAAAAGGCATTATAGTAAAAAAAATGGTGCACTGATTTGCTTCAGTTATCCCCTGATAAGGATTTATCACTGTCTTTAAACATAAAGATCTTTATGTTATATAGTTATACATATTTAATATATATATATGTTTATATAAAAAGCAGAGTGCAAATGGCATAACTGTTAATCGACATTAACAACTTCATCTCTGACGTACCCCCTCTTACTATGATGGTATTCCATGTTGAGACTGTATCTCCTAAGCATGCTTCTAGCAGTAAATCCAAGAAGAAATGGTTTGTCATAGGGAAAATAGCTTCCGGTCATTGTGATGCTTAATAGCTCCTTTTTGTAAGGACAAGAGAAATAGAGATACATGACCTGCAACACTAATGTTGTTTGCTTATCTTTGCCATTCCTTTCTTCTCCTAGTAACAGATCCATTCCTTTTCTGATCAGAGAAGTTTTACATCTGGAAATCTCCAAGTATTTACTGTGTGTGAGTTGATCTGAAATTTAATATTCCAGTGCTTATAATTGAGTTTTTGTGGCCTTTGCTTGATTGCAGATGAACATGAAAGCACTGATATATGATGTCACTTTCCAAGGAACTTTTATCACATCACACTTGCTTTCCAAATTTTCTTAGTGACAATTCTAAACTTTGTTGAATCACAAAACCTTCTCATTTGTGGACACTTGCAATAGTTCTGTATGAAACAGGGCACTTCAGCAAATCTTGCTGTGGGGGAAGAATATATTTAGCATTTGTTATTTCAGATCTGTTTTTTCTCTGTTGTCATCTTATGCCATTTGCATTTCGCAGTATTAGAGACAGGATCCACTGCTCCCATTTGTCTCACATGACTCAAAGTGGGATAATGTCTAAGACTTCTCTTGGGGAACACCTGCTTCCCAGTAGCCTCAGTGGCAAATCTGTTCCTGGGATCATTATTACAAGCAACTGACTGGTAGCATGAATAATTTTTGCCTAGTCTAGTTCTGAAGAAGCAAGAAGTTAATTTTTGCCAGATACAAAGTAGTTAGTAAGTAGGATTGTGATAATCTTGCCAAAATCTGCTGTCCATAAATTCAGGCATCTAATCTGAATTAATTGCCTAGGTTCCTGATACAGTAAATAGTGAAAAAGATGCATTGAGTGAGGATAGATCTTTCAGTTCTCAGGCAACAGAGATCACTTTTGAAGAGTAATTACCGCTAGCTTTCATTTATCCTTAATTTCACTGGGATTCAGAACAGCTAGTTAAAATCACATGTTATATTTTTACATGGCTGATGTAAAATGAAGAGGAATCTTGACTCTTGTTCATAGATTAATTTTTAAATAAAAGTTATTTTTTATTGAAAGCCATTATAAATATTCATATATTTTTTACACAGTGGCACAAACTCATCTTTGGACTGCTTACAGAGAGACTAAAAATTTTTTTCTATAAACTCGGCTATTGCAAGAGCACAGATTTTTTTTTTTAATAGCCCATGGTTAATTTTGTATAATCTTTAAAACTCTGAGGTAGAAGGTAAGTTACACAGTTAAAAGATGTGCACAGGGTAAACAGTTGCTTATGCAAGTGCAAGGGCACGTACAGATATTTTGGACATACAGGCTACAAAGATTAGGTGAAACAAAATAACATAAAATAAAGCAACAGTAAAATCACTAGAAAAGATCTCTTAAGTTGTTTTATTGGCAATTATTAATGTACTAGTGCATAAGAAATTGATTCTGTAATTTAGAAAAACAGGATGTCACCAGCCATCAATGTCAAGTGGGAGTCTCAGTCTGTGTTACATAGTAAACTTGTTATTTTGGAACAGTGAAGCCTTGAAAATTTACAGTACATAACAGCTGCTTGAAGCCAGACTTTTTCAGGTGTAGAATTTTGATATGCAGTCATACTGTTGCCCTCTACTGGCATCTGCTAAAAGCTTTTAAGACCATACTCATCAATACCATGGTCTCCATGGCTAAGTTCTGAAGGATGCAGTTAATCCATTTCAGGCAAACTCAAAATACGCCATCTTTGAAAGCAAAAGTTTTTCTCTTTAAAGAGACTCCGGGATTGGGGGGAAATGGAGGAGGGGCACAACTCCTACCTGTCAACGCTCATCTGCTTACAAACTGCTGAAAGCTTTAGCTTCTGCATTCAAAAGCCCTAAAACATAAAAATGTCAGCTGAATTAGTTAACTATTTGAGTACTGCCAACTGCTGGAGTGTTTGAATTTTGGAAGCATGGATTAAAGACATCAAGGGTCATGAGAGAGAGTATCATATTTCAAACTGCTTAGTGAAAGCACAGCTATAACGCAGTGATTGTTGCTGTTGTTCTAAAAAAAAAAAAACAACCACAAAAGCCAAATTCATACAACTGTGCTTTCTGAGAGATGGCAGAATATAAGAGAGAAAAATACTTGTATTTCACAAGTACTTTTCTACACAGTGTCTTGCTACTGTCATTAACTGAGCTGTCTAAACAGGAGTAAAATACACAAGAGAAAGATAGTGTATCTACTAAATAGGGGTGATTTTTTTTCTTTAGATGATTATTTAACTAAGATGCTTAATCTCAGCTGCCGTCAAATCTCTACACAACTTGGGACTATATGGAGATTTTATGCACAACAGTGGCTATCGGTATTGTAGTGTATTTGGAGTCAGTCCCTCTGAAGAGCTGTTTCTGTAAGCTGTCTCCATTAAATACATTTTGTGATCCTTTGACTTCTTGTTCCCAAAAAAATAAAACATCCAGTATCTTCCCTCTGGGCAGTCATAGAGGAATACCTCATGTGGAGGAAAGATGAGCTGGGATGAGGCTTCCTTCCCTCAAGTCATCATTAGGCACTGTGGAGCTTTAAAAGCTTTTTTCTGTTACTGGCACTGTCTTGCACACTGGTCTTTGGCATATCAGTGAAATATGTGGGGGAGGGAGCGGGAATTAATTGTAAAATGTATTTATTCTCACCTGTTTTCCAGGATTGAGTATGTTAATTTTTGCCATTTGTACTATGTTTAATCTCTCTATACATACAAAGCTTGTTTTGCGAGTGGAAAGCAGTGCGTTAACTTAGTGGAATAGGCTTTGCTTAACTCATATTTTCAAATAAAGGTTTGTTACACCTTCAGCATTATGATTGTGTATAAGAAATCCTGTTTTATTAATAGAAAAATAGTTATTTTGTCCTTAGTTTGTTGAACTGTGGTTGTGTTGTAGAAACAACCTAATATTTGCTTTTAAAGTGTTGTGTACAGGTAGAGGAGGTAATAGACTCAGATTCCACTGTGTTGCCTAGAAGTTGAAAATTAAAATGCCCTTAGGGAATGATAAAGCTTTATTACTTCTTCCAAATTATGGAGTTAGTTTAGAAACTCTTCACTTTTTGATTCTGAACAGCTGAGTATGCAGATTTCGTTAATGTGAGTTTGGGAAGATTGATGCGAAATGACACCAGTTTAATGAAGCATTAAACAAAATACCTTTAAGATACGGGATGCTGCAAGGAAGATGCTAAGAGCATTCTGTTTCCATTTCAGTCATAAATCGTGATACAAAAATTGCAGAGACTTTTGATTAACTAGGTTCTAACACAGCATTAAAAAAGAGTAGATTTTTTATTTCATTGGGATCCTGACACCCAGAGGACCATATGTGAAATAGAAAAAATATTTGGGAGCAGTTAATGCCTGAACATTAAAGTGACCACGTGTAAATCACTGTAGAATGTCGTTTGAGCAAGGGCAGTAGGTGTTGGTTTTGTTGGTTTTTGCTTTTTTTTTTTTTCTTTTTACCCCCCAAGGGTAAATGTGTGTATTCATATATTGCTAGAAAAAAATCAAGCAGCAAAGGAATATTTTGACTCAGCCCTGTATCATGCTCAGGTGGACCTTTATATGTAATTTTCATTACGCTTAGATCTTTTCTTGTTTGAACTGAGTGTGAAGACAAGGTCAGAAAAATTACCTCACTTTGACAACCGTGCTGTAAGGCCTTCATATACTGAGGCGATATTTATGGACTCTGATGTGTTTCTTGTTTTCAGGTGAGCGTCCTTACCAGTGTCCTTACTGTGACAAAGCTTTCAGCAAGAATGATGGATTGAAGATGCATATTCGCACCCACACAAGGGTACGTGTAGCTTAGTTTTTATGGTTACTTGAGGGTTGTCTATGAATCATGTAGCTAAAAGTAAATAATTAGTTTTTTGTAGAGATAAGGCTGTACCAACCAAGATGTTTTATACTTACAGGTGTATCATAAGAGGCAAAGATTTAAGTGTTTCACTGTTTGATTATAATTACAACTCCCTTACTGACCTTCTGTTTTTTCTGTCTTTGATTTCTTGCATGTTGAATAATATCAGTACAAACTTCTTCCTTTAACCTGTGGTTCTTATAGATCTAATATAATGTTTGTGATCGTTTACTGAGTAAATAATTCTGTAAAGTTCTTGAAACTTCAATATCCAGTGTTTTGATTCTTGCCATCTCTTTAAAATCCAGTCACTGTGAGCTTTTTAGAGCTTGTACTTTTCTAATGGATGACAAATATTAAGCTGCAAATTCACTGTATTTAAATTTTATTTAACTGAAGGTAAAATAACAGGCAAATTGCAGATGTCTCCAGGATTATTTTTGAGCCTTTAGTCTCAGCACAGAGGTTCCCTGTTTTAAGGAAAAGCCTTGTAATGTATATGTATTTACTAGAGGATAAAAGTGAGATCTTGGCCCCACTCAGCCAGCATAGAGTTGGATAGCTGTCTTCAGTCAGCCAGATGTGAATTCCCTTAGTAAAGGGAGATGTCCAGGTGAAGTTAAGCTGGTCTAGCATTCCATATGCTACCTGCCTCTGGCCTCCCCATCCACCATAAGAAAACAAACAAAAAGTTGAAAGAAACCTGTAGCTTTTACTAGTAATCCCTTGGGAGCTGTTACCGCTTAAAAGAGTCAAGGCAGTCTTAATGCCAAACAGTGAAAGTTTGTCTGTTAGGGAACAGGAAGGATGATAGTTAATTACCTAGTCTCCATATTCAAATCTGTGCACAGAATAGTTTTCTAAATAAGTGGAGATAAGATCAAAACTGTTTGCTTAATTTTCTACCATTCTACATAGGATTTGAGGGTATTAACTGGAGGTGCTAGATAAAGTTTTAGGCCAAACATTAGCTTAGAAGTAATTAGTAGTTTGTGGAGCGCTTCCTGGTGGTTCATTGTGAGCAGACTAGTCCCATATTATATGTTGTTTCTTCTTCTTTGCAGCTATGTATAATAACTTTAAAAAGTGCTATAAAGTACTTTTCTGTTGTTACTGTACTGTATTACTGGTTTTGCACCAGAAGAAATTTCATTACTGTGTATGTTCTACAAGGCTCTGAGTAGGAGGAGTAGTACAAGAGCTGCTCTGAAATGGTGCGAGTTTATTTTTTCCTTGATTTGTCATAGTGTTGGAATAAAATCAGCAAATCCTATTATTTACGAGAGCAATTGTGTGGTTGGCAGGAATATGAAGATTTATGTTTGTAGTAGGTTGATGCTTGTCAGAAATGTAGTGGTTGACATTCAGGATTTCATTACGAGACATTAAAAATTCTGAATTCATTCTTGTGTGTTTGGTGTTGCTTATGCATAATTTTTAACTTAGTAAGAGTGTTGAGAAAATAAGAAAAATCTACAAAGCTATCGTACAGGATCAGGAAACAAAACCAGCCCTTTCAGTAGAGAAACAGCTACTGAGTAGGTAGGTTCTATAATACTTTTTGAAGATTGTCTGCCTTGAAGTTTCTTTGAACACAAAAGTGCTAGCTAAAGGTGAAATCTCTGCACTGTGAGGATGTTGGCTATGCCTTTTCTTACCTTTTCCTACATATAAATTTTATTTATAAATTTATTCTTGCATGCAAAATAATTATTCAAAGAAAATTAACAAGATACATAAACCAAGAAGGCACTTTTGTGTCAGCTGAACCTAGCAATATGGAAATAACATCATCATAGCACTCTTCATCAAGGGCTATTCTTGTGTGAATACCCTGGAAAAAGAGTCTGGTCTTTTAGTCAGACAAATTGTGAAGTATCATAAAAGTAATGATATAACATTCAACAAGGAAAATGTCATTGTAGTGATTAAATCTAGATACATTTTACCAGTGGGATTAAATGCCAAACATGACCCTGTGGATCAGGGAAGGCTGCTGGAAAAATAATTTTAGAAAGTTCATTAAGGCCTGGCAGCTGCTAAACTGAGTACAGCCTGGGTGGCCATAGGTGTCACCTCACTCTGGAGTAAACAGAGAAGGTAAGCCAAAACCCATAGTGACAATGTAAGGAGTAAAAAATACCAACCACCTAATATTAAAATGTCACCTGAGCACTGATTTTTTTCTATGAAAGTAGATGTGTTTGGGGTTTGTTTGATTTTTTTTTTTCTTAAGAAGAAATACAACAGCATAAGAAAACTATGCATAAATGAGGAACTCATTAAAGTTCTTGATGAATCAATTTACATGCTGTATCAGCTTTGAGGAAGTACACGCGTACTTCTGACCTTCACAGAGCAGTAAACTTCAGCTCTTTCCTAAGGCTTTATTCAGTGCCTGACATAATACTATGCAGTTTGAGCTTTAACATGTAGAGAAATTATTGTATGTTACTGCAATATAACTGTTAATATTTGGAAATATGATCATTGATAGGTGTCCAGAGTTATTGTCACACAAATTGATGTTTTCATTACTTCTGAAAATGGTACTTTAGTTACAGTTTATTTCAGTTAAATACGTGGCGGTGATGGAAAACAGAAAGAGTAGAAGCCATTTGCAAATGTTTTTTCATCACATGGTTTGAATATTTCATATTTTTATTTGGAAGGTATAACAGATACATGTAATTTTTATAGTTTAAAAAAAACAGTTTCTGGTGGTGAAAGGCTGCTGGCTGTAATGCTCAAATTGTGTGTTGCCAAGATAATATTTTAAACATAGAGAAATTAGGGAAATTGTAGGGATAGGACAAGAGGTGATGGGTTAAAACTTAAACAGGGGAAGTTCAGGTTAGATATAAGGAAGAAGTTCTTTACTGTGAGGGTGGTGAGGCACTGGCACAGATTACCCAAGAAAGTGGCAAATGCTCCATCCTTGGCAGTGTTCAAGGCCAGGCTGGACAGAGCCTTGAGCGACATGATCTGCCCATGGCGGAGGGTTGGAACTGGATGATCTTAAGGTGTTTTCCAACCCTAACTATTCTACGAGTCTATGGTCTGCTGTCATGAAAATGTCTTCAGTATAAAGATAGCCTTAGAAGCTAAGGACCTAAGGCCTGATGCAGTATATGCAAGAATTAGTGTGCTGATTTTGGCTGGGATAGAGTTTATTTTTCTCCTAGTAGCTGGTTTTATATTTTCTTCCCTTGTTATTTCCCTTATCATTATTATCAATATTAGTAGTAGTAGTTTTGTATTATACTTTAGCTACTGGACTGTTCTTATCTCAGCCCATGGGGTTTACAGTTCTTTTGATTCTCCTCCCTATCCTGCCTGGGGAAGGGGGACATGGTGAATGAGCTAGAGGCTGGGTGGTGCTAAGCTACCAGATGGGTTTAAAACATGACAGCCAACCTTGAGTTAATTCTGAGTTTTATTTATGAATTTCATGGGAATAGTTGTAAGTCACAATAGGTGTGGAAGCTAGGCAGTCTCCTGTAGAGATCCTTGTCTTGAAGTCAGTGTTTCAGCTTCCTGCTGAGACAGTACAAAAAGAAAACTGTCCTTATCCAGATCCTGAGCTAAACAGCCTTTCCAAAGCACTCATTTGGAACTTTAAACAACACCCTCTATTATTTTTTTTCAACTCAAAAGAGTATTAAGATAAATATTGGAAAAAAGATGCAAGAACAGTATTGACGATTGTGACATAATTTCCCTTGTTCTGTTTCTCAGGAGGTATTTGGGCTTCAGAAAGTTTTAACGAGGGTCATGTGTTCTAGAAACATCATACTATGCTATGCCTCTCCCCCCCTCCCCAATTATACTGGGTACTAAATATAGTCCTCTATGCACATGACAGTGTGTAATGAAATAAGATGTGGTGTTGATTGAATTTTGAATTTTTTTCAATATTTCCCTATTGGTGAGACATGAGTGAGTTCCCAAACATCTCTCTGAGGGTGACGACTCTGCCAGTGCTCTGGTTTCCTTGCCTGTGGAATCTGTGTTTGTGTACAGAATACAGAAGGTTTTAATCCCACTGCAGCTGTATTTTAACTTACTTTTTTTTTTTTTTTTTTTTTGCAATCTTGACTGATGATCATCTTTTACTCATAGATTGAAAATGTTTGGGGTTTTTTTTTGGTTCTTTTTCCAAGAGCAGATCAGCATCTGTTGAATATTCATCATAGCTGATTTAAATAAACCCTTCATCACTAAATCTGAGGAAGATTCGTTATTTCGGTGGTTTGAAAAACCCCAAAGAAACAGTTTTAAAGATTGTAGGTTGCAAATAGGTAGATCTACTGTGGAAAAGGGGAAGTTAATGGTTTCGTAAGGTCCAACTAATTGCATATGCTACAACTTTTGAACAAATAATCCTTTTTTTTTTCTTCTGACATCATTTCAGTTAAGATGTGTGGTTTTATTTTCATTACAAGCTTTATTGCAAGAATTTCAGATAGTATTTTTTCAAAGCTCCCAAAACTGAATTGAGGACTTTTCGAACAAAACCATCAGTCATTTCTAATGAAAGTGACTTTTTATGTGCATTTACTGAATCCTGTCTGAATTGTTTCAGCAGGAATGTTTCTGTGTCTGCTCCAGTTACTGGAAATATATATTTTTTAAGGCTTTTACTTCTAAAGTGAGGAAAAGTACTTGTAAAGTGATTGTTTATTGAGTTTTAATCATTGTAAGATTCAAGTCCCTACTATTTGTGTAGAGTTGGAAATTCTCATCAGCCTTTGTCTTCCTGTGTCAACATTATTTTAGTAATATAATGCAAGTCTTAGTAGGCAAGTCTTTAATGCAAGTTTAAGTAGGCCTGTCTGTGGGTGAGCCACTTGCTGTAACTTCCAAACCCCTCCCAATTACTAAGAGAGCATCTTGTTAGTTCTTGCCCATTTTTCACACTGAAGTATGAAACT